AAGGAATACAAGAACCCGGTACTTATAGAAAGAACTCGGGAATCTCATAAACAACTAGGACTTCAGCAGAAAAAAGAATGACAACTCAGAAGACAAGATCCTTTCCATTATATGACAACTCAGACGACAAGATCCTTTCCATTATAAATAGTTTCAACAAATAGAAGATTAAACATCTTACAAGACCCAATGAACTTGGTACTACGACAAGCAAGGTAGCAAAGAGGAACCCAGACACAGCTAGGCTCTGGAACGACTATGTGCTCCAAATTGCCACTCGGTAGAACAAACCGCACTTGGCTACACTGTTTTCTTCAAAGGACGGACGCAGTGCATCTAAGGCGGAAATCAGCAGCACGACGAAACAACATGGAGCAGAGAAGGCCAGCAGGCATCTGTCTACCCAAGTCCGATGTGATGCTGGATATGGTGTTGATATGCATCGGACAGTCTCAGGATAGGCGGCGAGGATCAACCTAGAACTGCTGGATGAAGGAACATATCCCAAATCACAAGACTTCCTCCAACTACCGCCACGTACTTCCAAGTACAATGCTGCTGCGGGATTAGTCTACCTCTAATCCCTATCACAAGACTCCCTCCAGCTACGACAAGATACACAAGAACTACAAAGTACGCCCGGGGGCTGCTCTACTTCACAGACTACCATATTCATGACTACAGAGATTTCAGACCACGCAACAAAATGCTCGATGAATCAAAACAACATACAAGAAGGATATTTATAGGCCAAAGAAGCGGTGCACATGGACCGGGAGCACCAACAGAACAAACCTAACAAAGGACACAGTGAAAAGACAGAATTCAATGAAAGAGGACTCAGGCGTGAAGGAGCAGTACTCAAGAACGAGCATATTCGGAAGAATATACGAACACTGTACAACTCGTGAACAAATATCATTTACTCTCAACCACCACCATACAACTACATCTGACAACAGCAGACTCCCAGAGAACATGCCAAGATCCTGTATCCGAGTTCTTTTCGAATAAAAGAACCCAGGTATATGCTCGGGGGCTGCAGTAAGAAAGGCTTTCAGTCCTTTGAACAACTCAGATTCAAGACCCTCCAACTTTTTGTTCCAAATAGCAAGAGGCTCGGGGGCTACACTTAGTGAGTGCACTTTTTTCTTCAAAAAAGCGCACATCACTCAGAAGACTTCTTCAAGACGGTAGTTTACAAACAACATGAGATTAAAGACCCTCCAACTTTTTGTTCCAAATAGCAAGAGGATCGGGGGCTACACTCAGTGAGTGCATTTTTTTTCTTTTTCAAAAAAGCGCATGTCACTAGAAAGACTTCCTCAAGGCAGACCACTTCAAGACTTCATGACAAAAGAACCCGGACCTAGCTATATCCGAGCTCTTTTCGATAAAGAACCCAGATATATGCTCAGCTGCCTTTCAACGAAGCATCAGAGCGATTTCAAGAAGACCCTCTAGCTCCTTGTGCCAAATAGCAAGAGGCTCGGGGGCTACACCCAAATGGGAGTACTTTTTTCTTCAAAAAGGTGCACACCACGCGAAGATCTCATGAAGCGCTACACGGTTTCGCTCAGGAAAGCACTCGGACGACGCTTGTTCCTGCTCGGTAAGACCTAAAGGAACAAGACGAGGCTTCTAGAGCTCGACCATGAAGTGCTCGGGGGCTTGTCGGCGCAGGACCCACGGGATACCCCGCAAGGAAGGGAGAAGATCTAGTCTAACTAGGATTCTTCCTCTATAATCCTGGTAGTAGTATTATTCTGTAATCCTACTATAAATTCTCATTGTAAACCGACTATGATTCTTGCCTCCTGACTATATAAAGGAGGGCAGGGTTCCTAGAGATGGGACTTCATGACTTTTACGACAACACTTGACAATTAATCCAATGCAAGGGCTAACGCCGACTGGACGTAGGGCTATTACTCGATCAACGATCGAGGGTCCGAACCAGGATAAATCGACTGTCTCTTGCGTTAACCGTCGAGTTCCGCACACGCTGAAGCCCGAACATACTGCCCTGGGTACCCTCGTGGCAGGCTATCGGTGGTCAAACATCGACAACTTCCTAGTGGTTTGGTGAAGATGTTGGGTCACTCCCTTGACGCCGTAATGCCTCCAAACCATAGATCGAGTCCAAACCCTAAAATGGAAGTTTGGGAGAGAAAGAGACAAACACATACATATAATCTCTAGCAATAACAACAACAAGCACACGAGACACAAAGATTTATCCCAAGGTTCGGCAACCCCACTAAAGAGCTCCTACGTCCTCGTTGTTGAGGTGACCACCAAGGTCGGAGTCATTTCCACCTCCTTGCCTCTCTCAAAGCGACCACAAAGGTCACTTGAGCTTTCCACTAAGAAATCGAAGGGTGATACAAACTTCCCAAGGCCCTTCCACAAGATGGAGGCTCTTGGGCAACGCCTAGCCGGCTAGGGGCAAAGCCCCAAGAGTAATAGACGTAAAATCAACCGGCTTAACGAAGAAATCAAGTGCTCAAGCTTTCCAAAGTGATGCTCTCTCTTAATCCACTCTCCTTTCACTCAAACCCTAAGAGAATCGAAGAGTAGAGCAAAGGGGGAAGGAGAGGGGTGCTTTAGTTGTTTGGGAGCTGTTTAGCACGAAGTAAGTCAACTATGAAATCAGTCCGTAACGGTTAGAAGTGAAGAGAGAAGTATTTATACTCCAAGTGAAAATCTAACCGTTCAGATCTACGTCGGAAGTTCCAACGTAGATATTAGGACTTCCGACGTTAACAGAAAACACTGTTCACAACGGGTTAGAAGTCCGCGCGTGTAAGTCAGTGTCGGAACTCCCGGCAAACGTCGGGACTTCCGACGGTCGGAAGTTCCGACGTTCGCCGGGACTTCCGACGTACACAGTTAAATAAGCAACCAGCACCTCTGATGCCGGGACTCCCGGCTGTGTCAAGTCAGTGTCGGAACTCCCGGCAAACATCGGGACTTCCGACGGTCGGAACTTTCGATGGTCGGAACTTTCGACGAGCGTCAGGACTTCCGATGTGCACAGACAGTCAGCCAGACAGAAGCAAAGGTGCCGAGACTCCCGGCTTAGGTCGGGACTTCCGACCGTCGGGAGTTCCGACTTAAGTCGGGACTTCCGACACCGACAGTCATAGAAAAAATATTCTATGTGCTCGTGAAGTGCTAGAGTGTCCCAATTTTTATTTAATTATTATGCTTGAGCACTCTATCTTCCTCAGACCAAATAACTTTGCATCCCTCTTTATAGTACGGTGGATCCTAAACTCAAAAAACAAAATTAAAACCTTTGGAGAGCATTTTGAGTTCGTCCGCCTTTTCAACTTCAAGAATTAAGGGATACCATTTCATCTTTATCAACTCTTTGAATCTTTCATGGGACTAATAGCTGTGATATATCTCATTTAGATTACATTAGTCCCTAATTTGGATGTCATCAATACACCAAAACCCACATAGGGGGTAAATGCACTTTCAGTATTCTCCTCCTCCGCAGGCTCGGGGGCTACTGTTGGGTATCGATATTAGGGATACACAAAGCAAGGAACTTAGCGCCCACGCTGATCTCCTCGGATGGCTCGAGATGTATTAAAAGGTCTCGCCCGACCCCAAGGCTGCGGGCACTAGCTCGCCCGACCTCGAGGCCGCGGGCTCCGTCTCACCTGACCCCTTGGGTGCGGGCTCCGTCTCGCCCGACCCCAAGGACACGGGTTTTGTCTCGCCCAAGGCCGCGGGCTTCGTCTCGCCCGACCTCAAGGCCGCGGGCTCTGTCTTGCCCAACCTCGAGGCCGCGGGCTCTGTCTCGCCCGACCCCTTGGGTGCGGACTCCGTCTCGCCCGACCCCAAGGACGTGGTTTGCGTCTCGCCCAAGGTCGCTGGCTCCGTCTCGCCCGATCTCGAGGACGCGGGTTCTGTCTCGTCCGACGGGGACCCATACCGCCGCCAACCACTTCAGGTCCAAGCGTATGTGCCTGGGTCAAAACTCTGACGCCAGGGAAGACGCTGGCACGCCTCGATGTAACTCGTGGCCATGACGGGCCATACTTGGGGATTCACATCAAGAATAGTGTCGGGCGCGCCGGTGCTGTTCTACCTAGTCCTCGTACAGACTCTGACAGGCGCGTCAGTTCACCATGACGTCCATCGGGACGGAGTGGAACGCCATGACCAACAGATAAAGCCTACGCATGGCTCTAGTGATGAACAGGGCCGCGACATGGAGCCATCCCTGTTGACATCTATAGGATCGATGGGACCCGCATGAAGGAAAAGAAGGACCCGGCAACGCTGGAAGCCTTCTTCTCTCTCTCGTTATTCTCGTTTTCCTCCTTTGTAACCCGCACTTTCCCTTCGCCTATAAAAGAGGAAGCAGGACGCCCCATGAAAGGGGGATCTTGACACAAGAGCACGACACGAGCACATGGCTGAGTGGCAAGCGAGCTCTCAGCACCCGTTCACTCCCTCCACCAGAGACTTGGGATCCTCTCCCTCTCTCGCCTGTTTGTAACCCCTACTGCAAACCAAGTGCCGGTAACATGAGCAGCAATGAACTGGATGTAGGGACGTTCCGCCCGAACCAGTATAAACCCTTGTGTCCTCCGAGCACACCATTCGAGCCAGACGCGCAAATACAAATTTACTCGCCGGTGGTCCGAAAACATCGACAACCTCAATCCGTATTTTTCACTTCGAGAAGAATGAATTCTAGTTCATGTTGTTATGTACATGGCCACCGTGATCTCCTTTATTCTTTGCCCTTATTCCTACCACAACCTCTTTGATGTTGTCTAAAGAAGACAGGAGTCCTTTCAGATTCCTCTCTCCTTTTGTCAAAAGCTATATGGAATCCTTGATTCCCTACATGCTGCCTATTCATGATGCTTTACTAATTATTACTATACAAACTGCCCCTCTAATCAGCTTCCAAACTTAGAACTTTTGCTACTAATAGTCTGTTCTAGATGATCTTGAATGTTGTTTGTTGCCAAATGCTCATCGCCTACTGTGCTGATTCTTGCAGAGTGGTCATTGACAATGACGCGTGTGACAACGCAACTGTCATCCGGGTGAGATTGGACTTCAGTTTCATTGGGGACCATACTGCTAACTACATTTGAGTATTTAGCTAACGCCTAACCGCACTACCTTTGTACTGGATATTAATTGATAAAGGCTGGACCTTTTCTTTCTTGCCAGGTCGACAGGGTCAAGAAGCATGGCATTTTACTAGAAGCAGTTCAAGTCCTTGTCGATCTCAACCTCGTCATCACCATGGCTTACATTTCTTCGGACGGAAATTGGTTCATGGATGGTACTGGTTATATATCCTTTTAGTTTTTAAATGAAATTTGACTTGCAACTGGCAGTAATATGTTTGGTTGTTTGACCTGTCATGATGAATTTCTTTGTTTTCTTGGTTCACGTCGTGTTCAGTGTTCAATGTGACCGATCAGGACGGGAGTAAGCTTCAGAACATGGAGGTCATGGACCATATTCAGAAAGTAAGCATGCTGCATTTACTGCTAATCTCTGATGTTTCCACAAGACGCCTTACCCTTGTGGTCTTCAACAGTGCCTGGAATCAGACGGCTACCTTGCGCCTCTGGCAAACGGACCGATGGGCGGCTTTGCACCGCCGGTAGAAGACCAGTTCACCTCCATCGAGCTGACCAGCGCGGACCGCCCGGGCCTCCTCTCGGAGGTGTGCGCTGTGCTCGCCGCCCTGAGCTGCAACATCGTGAAGGCCGAGGTGTGGATGCACGACAGGCGCGCCGCCGCGGTGATCTAGATCACCGACGAGGCCACCAGGCTCGCCATCCACGATGCGGGCCGGTTGTCCAGGGTGCAGGAGCTTCTCTGCAACGTGATGCAAGGCAACGGCACGTGCAACCGTGGCGGCACGGGCGTGTCTGTGGGCGCCGCACGCGCGGAGAGGCGCCTGCATAAGCTGATGCTGGAGGACCGCAGCGGTGGCGGTGGCGAGGAGGCTGTTGGCGGCGGTGAGGAGAGGGGTGGCTGTGGCAAGGCGAGGCCCAAGGCCACCAAGGTCGTGGTGATGGACTACACGGAGAGGCAGTACACGGTGGTGATCCTACGGTGCAGGGACCGGCCGAAGCTGTTGTTCGACACGCTGTGCGCGCTCAACGACCTGCAGTACGTCGTGTTCCACGGCACGGTTGACGCCGAGGGAGCCAGCAAGGACGCCTACCAAGTATGCTGGCTTGCTGGCGTCGTGGTTTTTTGACCGGCAGCTCATGCTCAATGCTCACCGTCTCCCGACGTGGTTGCAGGAGTACTACATCCGGCACGTCGACGGCCACCCGTTGCGCTCCGACGCCGAACGGACCTGCTTCGTCCGGTACCTGGAGGCCGCTGTTGAGAGGCGCGCGTCCAACGTATGAACTCCCTCCCTCCCTCGTCGGCCCATCAGCATCGCCTTGCATGCCAATAACACCATAGTTCACGACTGAGCAGGGGCTAGAGCTGGAGCTGAAGGTGAGGATGGAGGACAGGGTGGGCCTGCTGTCGGAGATCACGCGCATGTTCCGGGAGAACAGCCTCTCCATCATCAGGGCGGCGATCACGACCAAGGACGGCAAGGCGGAGGACACGTTCTATGTGTCAGACACGTACGGCAACCCCATCGACGGCAGGGCCATAGACGTAGTGGGCGAGCAGCTTGGGCACGCCGTGCTGAGGGTGAAGCGCGGCGGCCACGACGCGTCGGTCAAGCAGGCCGAGGGCGGCGCAGTGTTCGTCCTGGGCAGCCTGCTCAAGGGCTCCTTCCAGGGTCTCAGGCTCATCAGATCCTACTCGTAATCCAGAATCAAAGAACTCTTATTAGGTACACAAGATCTGGGCATTGTACATAACTCTGATTAGTTACACAAGACCTGGGCATTGTACATATATAAATCTGACGTAGGTTAGGAAATAGTGAAGCAGCAGGACATGGTCCTGCATTGTACATTTGCACAGTACAAATCACATACTATTACAAGTACTACAGTGAATCTAGCAACATACGGGTACAGGGTAGCAGAAATAGCGATTTCATCTGGCTTGGAGGAAAACTTCAGCTACATTCGTGCGTTACATCTACTATGGAGCAATCGTGCAGATCAATGCCAAATGCCAGCAACAACACAGGATAACATGACAACTTGATGAAATTTCTAAATTTGTTACGGGCATAAACATAAAAAGGAGATTCATAACCATTATAGAAGTTGAGTCACATGAACTAGGTGGTACAGAACAAAAACTTTGAATTCTTACATGATGTCTTTCTAGCATGCTCGGTCTGTCAGGAGCAAAACTCTCAAAACTAGATCTGACAACCACTATGATTGCACACGATCGCAAGGAGTACATGATAAATTTAACAGGGCGTGACTTAGGTCATCCGCTGAGCAGCTTCCTTGGCAAGCAGCTTTTCCCTGGCCTTGGTTTTCGCCTGTGATTTGGAGCCCATAATACCACCACCCCACTTCTTCCTGACCTCGTCAAACTTGTCGTTGAAGTTCGCCTAGGAGTGAATCGAGTTGTCAGTACATAAGTCAATAGCACACAAAATGGATGCTGAGACTAAGATATTCATAACATCCAACCTTAATAGCCTCCAGGATCTTGCTGAACTCAAGCTTGTCCTCATTCTTGACTGTGGTCAGGCAAAGGACAGATGCGGTCTTCTTGTGAACGATCTACATGAAGTTATTGATTATTAGGACATTGGCAAGCCCTTCAACACTTATAACAAGCAAAAGAAAGTTGGATGGGTTAATACCGATCCAAGGCGTGCTTTTCCCTTGACAATGCAGTATGGAACCTCCATTTTCCTGCAAAGGGCTGGGAGCCACACCACCAGCTCAATCGGATCAACATCATGGGCTATGACAACCAGTTGGGCCTTGCTCTGCAAAAAGAACAAATATGTAAACAGAGTATATAGTTTTTATTGCCAGGGGCACCACTCTGCTATCAATCTATCACTAAACACTATAAGAAGAAAACAACCATACGGGCACACACACCTGCTCAATGAGGTAAGTCACATGGTTAAGGCCATACTTCACAACAATTGGTTTCTTTGCCTCAACAGTTTTCCCCTCACTTTCAGCCAGGGCCCGCTTCAAAAGCCTCTCCTTCTTGGCAGCTTTGTCCTCAGGGCGGTACTTAAGAAGCATCTTGAACAAGTTTGTTGCTGAAAAGCAAAATCAGACAGAAGACAAGATATAACAAAAGCAAAATCAATTAAAAGTACCATATAGCTTGAAATTTTAATTCTGGCTCAAGAAATGGAAAGAACCGGAGGTGTATCATATCCCATATTTTAAAAGCATATATTTCCAACACTATACCCCAATCATATTGCCAAGAAGTGAGCCTGTATTAGTATAGATTGCACCGCGGCATGTGAGCATACATAATTTGAAGCAAGGTTAATTTGTGGGTGGATAGTGTCACAAAGATTCACCTACACATCTGTGGACTTATAAACTTCACCTATTGGAAGTAAACTATGGCCAGGTTCAAAATTGCCTGCACTACATTTTTCAGTATTTTATAAATATTTGCTAAACCTACAAGAATTTAATGTCCTGCGATCAGCACTTTAAATATTTTCAATCGTAAAATAAACTAGTAACAAACATATCTACTTATATGGCAAATAGAAAATTTGATAATTTCAATTTAATAAAAGCTCTTTACAATGCTACACAGGAAACACTGTTAAAACCTAACATCCAGATCACACATGTAGCCTATTCTCTATTCTCTATCCACTTCATCTTCATTTATGATACAAATACTCATATCCCAAATGATTGCTCGCTGCATCGCTCCCAAACAATTACCCAATTACCAAGCAAATTGCAATCTTAAACTAACCAAACAATTCCTAGTCAGTAAACAAAACTTTGGCCGTGCTACTCCACGGTTGATGATATTAACATCTCGGCAAGTTAAAGTGGTAAACCTTCTTCAAGCCTTGCAACCTACTACGTTCTACCAAACAACAGCAATGGATGGAACGAGGACCGTACCAAGGTTCTTGTCGAGGGTACGGGTGAATTGGTTGAGCGCCGGGGGCACCTTGAGGCGCTACTTGAGGATGCGGCGCTGGCGCTGGATGCACACGACCTTGGGCCACTTGACGAAGCGGTGGAGGTCCTTCTTGGATGGAAGGGCGCCGCCGATCCTGAACTGCTTCGGCCTCTTCTTGAACAACGGGTTCGTCACCACCTGTGCCAACCAAACGCACAAACAATTCAAACCAAGCACGAAATAGCAAGCCAACAAACAACAAGAAACAACAAGAAGCATGGTAGATTGCACGGATCAGGGGCATACCGCCTTCTTCTTGGCGGGGACCGGCGCCTTGCCGCCTCTCTTCGGGGCCTGCAAGATTAGACGATTCACATAGGGCAATTAGGACCTTATCATAGCTAGGTCATCAAATAGTAGTAGAACCTAAGACTCGTCGTTCAAGTCTTCAAGATCCATGGCAGGAAAAGCTTAAAAGGTTTCCCAAGATCCCTTGGAATTCCAGTGGCGAACAAAGCGACGAGGCAGAATAGGTGAGAGGAGGCAAGAGAGAGAGGCGCGTACCATTTTACCGGTGGCTGCTTCGGGCGAGCGAGCGGGGCGACGGCGGGGAGGAAGAGGCTCGGCGAGTGGTGGCTGCGACACGAGATTTGAAGCCGAGCGGCGGTTTTATAGGACCGGCTTCAGAGCCACGTGGTCGCGTCTGGAATGTCGGATCCGGCGTGATGGGAGTCTTGGTGGGCTCTTACCCGTCCGTCCTGCGGATTAGGTTTTTGGCGGTCATGTCTGGGCCAGACGGCCCACTAAGGGAGAATGTGGCCGTGTTAGAAGACAGGCCGGACCTTGCATAAAAAAAAAGACAGGACGGACCGGAAGTTCTATTGGACTAGGCTGAATAACCAGTCTCTCCGCCGGTGACGTGACACGCCGCCGGAGTCCTAGCGGTCGGCCGGCTGGCAGGCAGAGGGTACCTCATTTCCTCCGCCACGGACGTGGAGGCTAGTGTGAGCTCACCAGGAGGTGGGCCCGCACTGTAGCCTGTCTACTTCAGTTGCCACTAGCTCACACAAGCTACTGAGTTCGCGAACTGCCTCGGGCTGCCCCAAGCCCCGATAGTTCAGACATATGATTTTCATTATGCCCGGCGGGGGCTGACACTCGCAGCCGCCGCCGATCTCACATTGTTTGAAAAGCTACCTCTCCTTTGTTTCTTTAGAGTTTCCTCTAGAGTCCCGGCACTGCTCTCTGAACCTGTGTCCAGTTGACTCAACAGCGAATTGACGAGCCTAACATGAACAATTGCATTGGAACCTGTCGATTCATTCAAGTTAGGGGTCTGTAGTGCAGGACTGGACTGTTTATTTTTCCTCTTCCTAGCTAGTTGCCTTGTATTCTCAACTTCGTTCATTTGTAGCTTCCTAGCAGCTCGACCACGCTCATCTCTGTATTCCCCTCCGTCCTCATCCGGGACAACCTTCATGGGGGACTGCACCTCCGTATCATCATCACCCTCCGTTGGATTTGTGGATGAGTGACAAGAACCTCCATCAACCTTTGACGTGCGACCATTTCCTTTCGCTAGGGGTGCCCTTGGTGCGTGTGACCCCGCAGACGAGCCGCTCCCAAAGGACTCTGCCGCACTACGTCAGATATGGTTTTTAGGGGCGGCTAATAAGCATTTGTAGGGTCGGTTCGGCCAGCCGCCCCTACCATATCGTCTCTACAAATCATGCATTTGTAGGGGCGGTCTGGGTACACCAGCCGCCCTTACAAATCGATTTGTAGGGGCGGCTACAGTACCAACCGCCCCTACAAATCATTTTTCCGCCAAAAAAAAATTAAATTTACAATTCAAATTCGACTAGAACATATATTTTTCATGCACAACTCCATCATGACTTATCTTCTTCTATGATTGTACTGAAACTCAATGACAATACACAAGCATGGAATGAAATTCACTTGGAAGATAATCAAAAGTCTAAGACATGCCTAAGAACAATAAAAGCCATCTGAAAGTGTTTGCCGATGCCTATCCACTTCCTTAAAAGGCACACATGAAGCATGTCTGATTCACGTATCATTGTCCAGTAAAATATGTGTCTTGAATCTTGAGAGTGTAGTGCTTAACAATGGACTATATACTAAAAATCTTACCTGTTCTAGAGATCTTCTCTTGGCAATTCTGATACCCAAACAGAAAGTACGAGAGTCATTTCTCGATAGAGAAATCTTGTTAGGTCCCTCCTTAAGGTAATCTGTTAACTGGGAACATAAAAATGTTCAAGGTCAAAAGGAGATATACAATAGAAAACTGTAGCTGATGAATGCAGGAAGATGATGTAAAAAAATGTCCACTGCCTTAGCAAAAAAGTAAACAGAATAGCAAATTTCGGAACAAAAAATACTTACTAGTGGACCATCGTCTCTACCATTGGCCCCTAACTTTTGGGTGGGTTGCCTGTTAACCACCCTAACATAAATACCTGACAAGGTAAGAATTACCAACATGAATAGTTCAGATATAGTATAATTGAACTTACTGTCAGAATAGCTGCCAGAGCCTATATCATAACTACAGCTAGAAGGATGTAAAATACTATTTTTGCTAAACTACAGGTATAAATACAAGTACAAGCACAAGTCATAAAGCATAGACTGAGGTGCATATACAAATCAACCCATAATAAGCCCCCCAAGAAAAGGAGAAAAGCATCACTGACTGTGCAACAAAAGATGAATCAGCTGTTATTTGGACTTAATTTGATTCTGACTGGGGTGTTTGGTTCTACGTTTTCCTTTTGTTATACAGAAAATAGCACTTGGCATCCAACAAAGCAACACAGCTGCCAGAATCGTAGGTTCAAGCTCAAGCGTCCAAGTAGTGGCAACATAATAAAACCAACCAGGTGTTATGCAAGTGTCCAAGTATTCAACAAGTTACACAACATATCAACTCATAAAGAAGAATAAAAAATAAAGAGTATCTTCCATTCTTCCTTGTACACATTGTGAAAAATCAAACAGGTGGCACTTAACTAAGTTTTTTTAACTCAATAAACATGTACCAAAATCCTATCAGAAAATATGACTCATTATACATAATAAGCCACTGCATATACCATTAACTTGCATGTCAGAGTGTAAAGGCTAGTGCATCCTAAAAGGTACTTTGTTACTGAGAAGGATACACCAAACCTGCTTAAGAAAAAAATCGATTCAAAGTCTAAGTAAATAACGGATACGTATAGGTTGAACATAGTGGCTGCAAATGAAACTCAAGGTAGGAAATCAATACAAGTAGGTAGTACAATAGTAACTAAAAAGGAGCAGTGTTGATTATTCCATGATGATCCTAAACAAACCTAATGGTTCAAGGAGAATGAAAAAAAAAGGAAATGGAATTGACCTGAATATCGCATTTAGCTTGTTTGTAGCATTTCTCTATTAGCTCTTGAAAGCTGAAAGCTTTTTATGTATATACTATAAAGATATGACCTCGGACATAAGCAAGAATCACAAAAGGCTATGCATATTCCTACTTAACTTTTATAACAAAATGAAGCAATTTGTTCAACCATTTTGTTGCTCAGACTCATATATCAACATTGTCATCCAAAGTACAATTATCTCATGTTTCTTCCTATAAATAACATAAGGAGTAAAGATGACTGCAGAAATCATTTAAGCTACAAAGACAACACACATAATGGAGGAGCCTGTTCATTCTATGCCATCCAAAGAAACAAAAGTAAAGCTCACATCATTCACATGTATTCATGCATTTAGGTCCTGCTTGTTGGGGAAAGAGTACTCAGAGGTCGAGCAAAGAATATTGCCACCAAAAACATAAGATAAAGCAAATGATTAACAGATAAGATCTGATGATGACTCGATAAAAGATGTTTTCTAAAAATATTCAATGATTTTCTTAGCATTGCCGTCCTGACTAGAATATGGATATCCATTTCTAAAATTCTTAAAAGAAGTTGCAATTATAGAAAATGCCCAATCATGATACAATACCTTTTTTCATGTTGTATCAAAGTAAATTTATCCAAGGAAGTTATTTTACTTATTAGAAAATTAGACAACATGGGGGTCTAGCAGAGATGTTAACGATCAAAAAGGTTTCAGCAGATAATTCAAAGGACACAAGATGTAACTGATTTGTACCATCCAAAAACATCAATAAGTGTGCTTTCTACCATCCAAAGATACGGAGGCAAGGTTACCTTGTCGCCTGATGGAGTAGCCTCCGATCCTTTGCGCTATTGGGCGATGTATAGGCGGCTGAAAGGAGAAAGGAGATGTCGGTCGAGGAGGATCTGGGCGGCGGCGGCCGGCAAGGGAAAAACAAACAAAGCAAATGGCAAGGTGTCGTCAGATCCGCCATAAGATTCAAAACCACATCCGCCATGGAGATCTGGGCGTGCGACCAAAATCGATGGCGATCATCCGCCGCCAAAACCACATCACGGGAAAGGCGGCGTAGATCCGGACTTGTTTCAAGTGGTGAAATGATACAGATAAAATAAAGGTAAAACATAAATGTTTTAACATGACAACAGCTTTGGCAAATTAAAATCGATGATGTTGTTCTTTGCAAAATTGACCTCTCGACTAAGCCGCCATCATCAATCCGCCAAAGGAGGGATCAAATCAAGAAATCGAGGGAGAGAGAGTAAGTAGGACGAAATCACCATTACCGAGGGAGAGAAAGAGACGGAACCTCAACAGATCCTGAGCGCTCCTTGACCTCGCCGAGGGGACGGTGGTGGCCACCATGGAGGCACGGGACGGACCAGCCTCGCTGGATCTGCCGGCCACTCGCTGGGACACGGGTGGACGCTAGGGCACCATCGACAATGGAGATCTAGTGCAGGATCCCCACCGCCGCAACCTCGTCGCCCATCTCCCTCCCTCTAGATCTCTCCCGTGGAGGGCCACGCCCAGCGCTCGCTCTCCAGATTGCCTGCCTCCTCACTAGATATGGCCTCCGTGGAGCCGTCGTGGTTGGGGGGAGGGGGAGGCACGGTGGCGGCGGCGAGGAGGAAGAGAGGTGGCAATGACGGCAGAGGGAGAGGAAGAGGGCTGCAGATTCGGCCGGATTCGCTACCCGTGTACCATAGCGGAGGGAGAGGAAGAGGCGACGATGGCGGAGGGAGAGGAGAGGAAGAGAGGTGGCGACGACGGCGGGGAGGGAGAGGAAGAGGAGAGAGGAGAGAGGATGGGGCAGGAGAAGAAGAGGATGGGGCAGGAGAGAGGAGAGAGGACGGTGCTTGGATAAGTGCGGACCTGACCTCTTCGGTTCACTGGATTAGATAATTTTTTCGGGTCCGTGCTCATCCAGCAGCCACGCATTTGTAGGGGTGGCTCATATTGCCAGCCGCCCCTACTGTTCTATTTGTAGGGGCGGCTTAATCACCAGCCGCCCCTACAAATAGCAACACCGGAGGCGGCTGGTGAGTGAGCCGCCCTACAAATCCTACCCATTTGTAGGGGCGGCTCGTATCACCAGTCACCCCTGCTGTTCCATTTGTATGGGTGGCTGGTCTTGTGGATCC